ACCAGCTTGAAAATAAGACAAAGTACTAAACAGATAATCTAATCTAGTGTGGAAGAACAGGGCAGCTTAAGTACAGTAGAGATAAATTAAAAACAGAATCTGATTCCGCAGCTCACAGATCACACTTGGCTGATCACAATATTATATACGCTAGCCTTGAAAAGAAGAGTAGCCAAAGCTTCAGTGGAGCTACTGTATTTCTCCCAGCTGCCACTAATTCCTGGAAATCCACATATACTTACACAGATTCATTACATTGTAGTCTTCCAACAGCTAATGGTATTAGGATAACCAAGATAATATTTACTAATGTATTAGGGCAAAGACATGTTGAATGTACAGCTTTAAGTGCCAAGACGACCCACGTAGTGGACAACCAGACAGACAAGTAAATCTAGTGATCTGAAAAACTCCCATTACAGCTATCTGTTTGAATATGTTAAGTCACACGAGCAACCTCCGTGTTCTACATTTTACATACATTATATGTTGAACCGATAAATACTCTGAACAGAACTTCAAGCAAACTTCCAGCTGTGATCTATCACAGAAATTACCTTTCATAATCCAAGTTTTGAAAAGAAACAGCATTCTAATGATTATTATTATTATTCGTAAATATAATTACTAAATATACATAACCACTTACATTTTCAAACTCCAATATAAAACAAAAGACATACAATTCTTACTTGAATTTCTATATACTAATCAAACATTTACTGTTGTGGCTACGTTTTTTTAAAAATGTATCCAAAGATAAACAATATTACTGTAGAAAACCAAATATAACTCACATTCACTTACAATAAAGATATCACTTTTATTTCAATTCCAAAGGAGAACAAGGGACCATTTGTTCGTCCGAGCTATCCCATTTTTTACAACCAAACTAATATGAATTATTAAAATAAATCTTTTTCCTACATTAAACCCTGATTTCTGAAATACTCATAAAATCTCCTTTTAAAATTCCCTCAATGTTACAGCTTGTTACCACACCTAAAGGAAAACTAAGTTTATTAGTGACCAAAAAAAACAAACTCGCAGCTCATACAAATTTTGTATGATATTAGATTTTAATTTGTTTAATTAATATTATGAATATTTTTTTTACTTTTCATCTTAACTGACAGAATTTGTTTGTCCACGTATTTCTCGAGAATTAGCTGTTAGGTGCTTGGGTTAAGTAGAATGTTATTATGATGTCCAGAAGGGGGGGGGGGGTTACCTCAAAGAAGTTTAAGCCCTGATTGTTCCATTGAAACGTTGAGCACTCACACCGTATATTAAGAAAAGGTAAAGAACCAGTACTTTTATGAGAATGCAAAAAAAAAAAAATTAGGCTTATTTTTCATTAAGCCTAACTACACTTGCCAATCAAATTCAAAGTTTCAGATGCATCCCTTAGTCTTTTAATAATACAATTGTACAATTTTTTAACCAACAGTTTTTGAAAGACTAAAACACTAAAAGTTACAGCACATTATCTATTTTTGTAGTATATCAGAGAACTTATATGCTAAACAATAACAGTACCTTTACAGCCATTCAAGTGAAAAGAGCTGAATCAAAGATGCTTCTAGCATTAGTGTTATCTTCATCAATATTTGCATCTGCTAATGATTTCTATCACAAATGTTACACTACAGAGATAACTCTTTAACCCTTTCTTATTCAAAATCTGTACACCATATACTGCTTGTAGCTACAAATATTTTACCCCAAATTAAAATATCTTACTTATTTTATGGATCACTATAGAGTATTAGTTTGAGCTTAAGGTAACAATTTCATCAAATAAAAAACACCACACAGATAGGATTGTTAAAAACATGTGTAATAGGCTTTAAGTTTCATTAATATTTGCCTGACAATGGTTTTCAGTTAATTAACAGAAACTGATTGAGAGAATTGAACTCTGAATTTTCATTAATTACAATTTAAGTATACACACAGATGTATTAAAGAAATAAAGTCAATGGTTAAAAATGAGACTGTCCCCAATTTCAAAATACAGTAAAAAAATTTTGTTTTACTTAGTAATTTACTGTATAAAGAAAAGATAAAATACTCTTGAGACTTGGAACAATCCCACATGATCTACATGTTGATGTTTCAAATCTTACTGTGTCATCATCACTGAAGCATGTAGAGTGTATGAGACTGTTCCCATTCTCACAGTACTTTATCTTTATACAGTAACTTATTAAACAGAACAAAATTTTTTTATTATATTTTGAGCCAGGGAACAGTCTCATTTTGGAATATTTCTTGTGTATTATTAAACATTGGCTTTATTTCTTTAATCATCTGTGTTAAGAGAACCTAGTTTTCACAGATTTCAACTATTTGTTCTCTGTAGTACACTATGCCACTCAACTTATTATCAAGATCAATAACACTACTGTCATATGACAACTTGAGACCGTGAATGGTTACACAAGCTTCCAGCAACTTTTCTGCAGAAAGAGATACCCAAATCCACTTTCAGTTGAACTGATTTTTCCCTTTGACACAAACTCCTAGGTCAGCAGATCCTGTTTCATTTAATGCAATGTTAAGTGTCAGAATTTGTGCGTGTTTCCACGGATAGATACAAATTTATCCTCGAGTTGATCCAGTCACAGTTCTCGAAACACGTTTAGACATGTTCCTGATAAGAAGCCACTAGTTTTAGTGGCTTAAAAAAGGCTTAAGCACAAAAATCTCTGCCACATCCCAGAATGGGGGATAAGCTATGATGGCATTCTCAATTAGACCTCAATAATTTTGTACAAAATTATAATAACCTTGTTATCCCTTAACTTCAACATTTCTATAAATACTGACCTTCTCACTACAGTCAAACACAAATGAAGTTTCAGCCAATTCATAATAATAACATTGAAATCCTTTCATTACATCACAATAGCAATGTCTATCTATCTCTCACAAAAAAATGAAATCCTTCCCAAGTTTCCACTACTCAGATACACACAGCACTTTACACATTCTCAATACTAAAACTTTTAGTCACAAAAAAGTAACTCTCCATTTTATACAAATGACGACTTAGGCCTCACCTGGAATACTATGCTCAGTTATAGTCTTCTTATCTAAGAAACGATAACGATTTATTGGTAAGGCTTCAGAGGAGGGACACTAGGATGGAAGGATAAGTTAAGATCATTTATTTTCTTTCTAGAAAAGCATGGTAAAAGGTGATTTTAATAAAGTTTATAAAGATTATCCGATCCCTTTGTGCTATATTATATGGCTAGTACGATAAGAGGACACAAGATTCTGAGAAAACAGGCTAGGCTTCAGCTGGGACAGTTTTATTTTTCTAACAAGGACTTATGAGCTGTCAATCTCAGTAGTAGAAGCTGGCACTTTACAGAGTTTAAAAAGGGTGTTGTATCAATAATTTCTGAAAAATAAAGGGTGGGTTTAAGTTTTCACTCTTTCTCATGGGTGGGTGTGCAGGAATAGCCTTGAAGGACTAAATGATTTCTTGTTGCATATAACAATTTTATTATTTCTCATGTGCCAAGACTTTCAGCTCCTTCTGTATTAAAGAAACACTTCACAAAATCAGCTTTTCCTGCTGCATTATTAACTTCAACACATTTGGAAATAATTACAACCTAAACTACTCCTTAGATGATGTATGTGTGTGTGTGTGTGTGTGTGTGTGTATATATATATATATATATACACACACACACACACACACATATAACAACAACTAATACTAACAAACTAACACTACTACTA